GGCTTCAAAATGTATAGAGAGATATTTGGAATAAACATAAATAGTTTCGCATTTGTTCTTTCATCGAACGATCCTCTAGCAGAGGATCTGTTTAGTCGAAGTGTCGCTTAATGTTTCAACGATATGGATATGCAATCATCTTTTTATTTATTCTTGTTGTTGTCTATCCTGAGCTACTCATTTAATCATCACGCGGTGGTAAGACTGCTTTTTGATTTCTGCTGTTCTCTCTCTTACGAAGTGTTAGACTTTCATTTTATGAGAACAAATCATCTCTGCCTTGTTAGTGACGTTCGTTGCGTGTGCCTCTAAAGCATCAACCTTCTTTTTGTAGGGATGTGAAGCTCGCGATATTCTATGTAGAGGTTTGACTATCTTGACTTTAGCTAAGATCTTTTGAACCGGTCAGCATTTTGGTCCCCTAGTGCTTCAAGCGAGGAGGATGGAGAAATCTTCTATCGATAGAAACAACATGATTCCGTAATGATTTTTCCGTAAAGAGTTTGCGGAGGAGTTTTTTGTTTAATAAGTCTTTTTCGTATGTTCGAACATGGAGGCGCTTTGTTATTGATGATTATATAGCAATAGAAATATAATGGCTTTTCAATTGTTCCTCTTGCTCTTCGAGAGCTTCTTGTTCGTCGAAGGGCGAGTGGGAGGACTTTTAGTTATCTTGACCTCACGAGCTCTCTTTCATTTAAAATCGGGGATGTGGTATATATGTGATTGATAAGCTCGACGATTCATTGGTCTTGAATGAGATGTTGAGTTCGTTGATTTTCACCTCGAACTAGAATTCGGGTTCTTGTGAGAAGTCTAGTTCGTCTTTTTCCTCACCAAACACAGAGCTGTAACGGGGCAATGGAAGAAACGTGAAGAGCGACATGTTCTCTGGCTCGTGTTCGTCTTTATTGCGAGGCGACAACCTTTGCTCATGTCATTAAGAAGATTTGAACATAAGGAGAGTCTCTTATTCATATTTGATTTTGGTGGTGGGATTTTTCTTGATGTCTCCTCGATCTCATACTACGCATATTGAGACCTTGAGAATCGGGTGTATTAACGGGTTTGTGATTCTTCCTGTTCATATATGAGCGTCATTCTTGAGCTCGTGAGTTCTAGTTCATTTTAAGTGGAAGAGAATGAGGTTTGTCCTCTCCTCCAGAAGATTATCGCTCCCAATAAATACGTATTTCTTTTGTTTATTTTCTTGAATGAATATTTCTTTTGTTTAAACATCAACAACTGACTTTCTCTTCTTCCCAGTGCTTCATAGGTGGAAAGATCGTTGACGGCTTTTGTTTTCTTTTGCGGAAGAGATTTGGTGATTAATCTGGGACCAACAGTTAGTTGCCCCCCAGTCCTTCGAGTGAGGTGAAGAGGTTAAAAGACGAAAAGTTGGCTTCCCTCTCCTGGCAAAGTTGTAAGGAATCTCTTTTACCCGTTTCTCCATTAATATGGCCGAGGAATTGTCTAAACATGATGGGAGATCGAGTCTGACGTAGTTTATTATTTCCATCTCTAAAGAGACGTCGGTTATGTCGGTCTTGAATGAGACTTCGTTTATGGACGACAAGTTAGTAGAACTCGAGTTTGCTAGAGAAGATCTTGTAAGATCTTCTATACTTTTTTATGTATCGTTGTCCTTCGACAACTATTGAAACATATCAGGGTGATGTAAGGCACGGAGGGTAACGATTCTCTATTTTGATGTTCTGTTGGTTTATACTCATGGACGGAGGACGTCGTTTTTATCAAATGCATATGATCATTGTAGATAAAATCACGGTAAAGGCCGGGTGATTTTGGCCTTTTTAACTCACGAGCTTTCATGCTCAAGAGGTCGTTTATGTGCTGAACTGATATTAAGATTTTCTTCTGTCTTTTTCTTGTCTACCAAGTGACGAAGTGGATGAATCTACCAATCATCGTGTTGACTTAATGATTTGATAATATATTGGTCTTTATTGATACCACCGTTGAGCAGCGAGAACAATCTCGAGCTTGATATTCTCTCATTTGTCGCGGAGCAGGGTCATCTTAGTGAGAAAGGTTTCACTTGTTTTATTTATGGAATTTTATCTGTTTTCTTTATGAAACAAATGCCAGTTATTGCTTATCTTTCTTGTTTAAAAAATTAGAATTGTTCAAACGCTATGTTGGTGTATCATTTCGTGATAGAAATATAATGATATTTTTAATGGTTGCCGCTGAGCGGTGAGAGCTCTTCTCCGCTGGATTCCAATTGTTTCGGATGAGACTTCGGGCTTATCTTGACGTCGGATTCACGTTAATAGCAACGTGTAGAGAATAAATCTTTTTCTAGTTCATTTGCATGAATAGGTTTCTTGTTGTCTAAAAGAAATTTTGTTCGATAAATATATCTTTGTGTTCACTTTATGAGATAAACATAAGGAACATATATTTCTTCTTCTTGCTCATCAATCGAAGAGTGGAGGGATTTCTTTATCATTATTGATACATGATAAAAAAAAAGATCGTATCTAATCAAATACATGGTTGTATTTGATCCATAAAACAATAATGCAAACATCGTTGGTCTTCGTTCTTCAATGAGGAGTCTTGTTGAGCTGTTTTTCCGAATGAGGGGTTCTTGTCTGTCAAATACATGGTGGTATCGGGAAGCTAATGACGAGCATATTATTGGTCTTTCGGAGCCTGTACTCTTCTACTTTGGATAGCGAAGAGCTATGGTTTCTTCACTCCCCCCTCGATAAGAATATCTAGATCTTGAGAATCGGGCGTATCTAGTTTTTGTACACATTCTGAGCGTGTTTGAGGCATTGTGTTTCGACCCTTTTAAGATTCTTCCTCGCTTTTGATCATCTAAGTTTTTCGAGAGATTATCGACCACTTATTGACTTCGCGATCTAAAATCGCGAGGTCGGGTTATCAGCACTCATCATCGTCCCGCCATTGTTTGAAAGCGTCGATAAATATAATTTATTTTTATCGGTAGTTGCGATTTGATTTGGCTGAGGTTGGAATCGAATCTCATGTTTTGTTTCTTGTTTGTGATTTAGAAAAGATCAATGCCAGCGTGGATTGATGGCTTGTTTGTTGGATATATAAAATGGATCCATTTTCGTGCTTACAAGCCTTAGGTTGGGTTCCTAACAAGGATGTTTTTTGTTTTTCTTCCCCACAGTCGGCGCCAAAATGTAGATCCTAAAATCCACACTAAGTATTTGATAGTATTTTTTTATGTAAACTGGGGAATGAAAAGGATGTAGGCAACGATATCCTTAGAACACAACGATGTAGTCAGGTATGAGTCAACAAAAATAGACTATGTTCGCATACCGAATAGCACATATATTATGGTTGAAGAAAGATCGTGACTGAACTTGGGATCGAGCTGCCTACGTACCCTCGAAGAGGGATCAAGTCATAATGTAGTTCGGTTATTATCATCTAGAAAGAGATCTCGGTTTCATGGGCCTTGAGCAGTACGTCGGGTTCGTCGATCTCGAGCAAGATGTCTTCATCGATCTCGCAAGATATCGATGCTTATTTGTGAGAATAATGAGCTAGAGACATCTGATTGGCTGATCATGGTCTTGAATTTTCTATGAATGGATAATAAGTTCTTTAGAACTTAAGCCGGTTATATACGATCTCAATAGATCTCGTATGAAGAGCTCTCGTTCTTTATCAATCATAAAAGCGAATCGTCGTGACGTAATGGTAACGTCTCTATTGCTCATCTTCTTGTTGAGATGTTTTGAGGGAGGAAGAACTTTGGTCTTATCAATACGCAACTGTAATTGATCCGTAAAGCAATCAACGGCTCGTCATTGATGCTATCTTCTTGTCTCGTCGTTGGCCACACTTATGTTGGAGAAGTGGGATGATGACCAAGAAAGCACGTGTCTTCTTTGTTATCATTCTATATAGGATAATATGGTGTAATCGTGTTTGTTGAGCTCGTAAGCTCTTGTTTGTTCCAGTCCAAGAGAATCCCCTTTTAACTATCGATCTCTTTCCCTTTTATAAGAAGATATTTACTTCCTCTTTCTTTGGTGAGTTGTTGCACGTGTTCCTCTTATTACGCTTTGACTCCGTGATACCGGGTGATTGCCAACTAACATGTCATGTTAGACTTACTATTTGCTTAGAATCCACTCCAATAACTAAAGGAGAGTCTGTGAAAAATTGTGGTCGAACAAACACTACAAGAATGATTGAAAATAGCTAAAGACTGGCTAAGACATTTTCGTAGCCATAATTATTAGCGATGAAAGTTGCGACAGATAGCGACAAAACAAAAACATATTAAATTTGTTGCTAATCTGTAGTGATTTGTAGCTAACTAGCTACGAATATAATCCGTAGGAATTCTCTAGCTAAATAGCAATTAATTAGCGAGGAATAAACTGTCGCTGAAACATTTATATTTTGAAACACATGGCTATATAATATGTATGTGTTATATGTTTGGAATTTTCATTTGTGATATATGTTGAAACTAGTAATGCTAGGATAATCTGTATTTGTGTTATATGTTTGAAACACTTATATTTTTATGTTTATTTTGTTTGGTTGATACTTGAGTTAGAGATCATAGTATATGATTTTGATTTTAGGGATTTGTGGTTTAAAGCTTATATTTAAATTTTAAACTTAAATCCAAACTATAATATAATCATAATACATGTAAATGATAAAAAAAGAAATTAGAATTAATGATGAAAAAATGAGAAATGCTATCATTGGTTTATCAAGAAGGACAAGGATAACTATCCTAGGGTTAAAGTTTTAGGGGTTACACTTTAAAATATGAAATTTACAGTTTAGGGATTACGAGAGGATAATATTTGGTTCCAGTTATAGAATTGGTCCATAAAATTGGCTCGAAAAATTGGCTCCATAAAATTGGCTCAAAAAATTGGCTCCAATAATATTTTGGGTTTTGGCTCCAATTCATTTTACCCAAGTTTATCATTAATGCACAAAAGTAACAAGTCTCGACACTTAGAAAAAAAATCAAATCTCTCTCCTCTCGAAGTCCCTCTCTCGGAATTTTCGATTTTTCTCTCTCAACACCAACGTCGACTCTCCTTCTAGTTCTCTCCTCTAACCAGAATACTCATGGCTTCACCCGGAATACTCATGAATCGTCCTCATCGATTAGGTTCTCAATTAGTTTCAGTGTTAGGGTTTTGATTTAGGTCAGTGTAGGATTAGGATTTCAATTTGGGGCTTTTTTTGCTTACGGTTTCGATTTGGGTCAGTGTAGGATTAGGGTTTCGGTTTGGGGACAAATGATTATTCTGTACTAGTCCTCGATTAGGATTGTTCTTATCTCTGGTTTGCTGGTTTATGTCAAAGGTTTTCTTAACCTTTTTCGTTTAGAAATTAGTCTTTGAAATCCATCTTTTGTTTTCGGAAGAGTTTCACTGAAGGTTCTTATTTTCTTTTGATAGATCCCCATTGACAAGTGATGGTATGTTTGTAGTCAAACGTCCCGAGAAAATTGTCAAAGAAGTTGAATCCATTGTTGTCTCACAACACTTCTCCAGCATCGACCATGAAGAGGAGGTTCCAACTCACAAACATCAGTCACACCACGTATGCGCGTTCATGCTTAGTACTCGGTATTGTTTTGTAATTTTGTTTCTGGTTTTGTTGCTTTAGTATTTTATACTTACTAGTAAATGATTGAGTAGTTATTTATTTGTTAATAGAATTATGTGACTCATATGCTTGATCTAATGATCTTTATTGTTTAGTAATTTACTCTCTCGTTTTTTTCATCTGGTTTTGTATAAAGGTATGTTGTCTGGACTTGGAACAACACACATAGAAAATTAAGATCCCGTTAATCCACTAGCCATTTTTTTTCACTTTTTAGGCTAGTAGGAGCGAGATTTGATCAATCTGACAAGAGCTGTCAACATGGTGAGCAAGCAACTGACTCTTTTATGTGAAGCTAATGGTGTCACAGTTCCACCTATACCAGAATCTGAGAAATCACATTATACATCACCAACTGAATTGGCAGCTACGTCCGACTCGCCTCCATCCACTCCCCATCACCAACAAGAAGAGAAGCTAAATACGGCAATCAACAAATAGACAAACGAGTATTATGTCTTCTTGCCGCAGCTTGAATTTTTTTTATGGTTTTAGTTTTCACTTATTAGTTTAGCTTCTTGTTTGTGTGCTAGAAGTTAAATCGACATTTTTGTTATGTATGATATTTTCAGATTTCTTATAGTTTTAAAATCGTTTATATATTCACAATTTTTTTAAACAAAGACTTGTTCGTTGATAATTTCAAATCCAGCATTTGTAAAAAAATCCATAGCTATATATGCTACAATTTTGCTAAAGATATACTGTAGTTAAAAACGTCGCTAGATGAGCTACGACCATTGTTCTCGCGAATCCGTTTCGAGCTGGCTACGAATTGGCAATGGTTCACAGTTAGCGTCGGTGCTGAGGCCAACGCTTCCATCCGTCGCCATCCGTTTCCTTTTGTTTTCTAGCTACGGATTGTCCCTTCTAGCTACAAAAAATCAGTAGCTATTTCCATGATTTCTTGTAGTGAAATATTATAGTTCCACTTACCGATTGTATAAAGGAATTTTTCTTAATCAAGTTTTTGAGCTTCATTACTGATGTTAGGAGTTTTCAAAGCTCCTAATCAAATGATGTAGTATAAGAGATGTCGAACCAGTTCTATGTGATCTTAAAGCAAAGGGAATGCAAGACCATGCTCAATCTAAGTGCAACCAATAAGTGAGATGATATTGAACTAGAATACTATACTAAAATCCAATAAAGGAATGATCTTTCTTTCTCAAAATGAAGCAAGATGACTCATGGGACTAGAAAGTTGATCTTGGGTGATGTAGATACAATCTATAGATGACAAGCTAGCAATCATACATTTTCCTTATGCCTAGACACAATCCTAAACAAGCTCTATCTCTAGATGAATGTTCTTTTACTAAAGCAACTCAATCATCTAATCTCTTAGGTTGAATGTTACTAAAGCAAATATGGAGAACAAGTCTAATGACAATCTTAACTTCTTTAGCAACTAATCTATTAGGTAAAGTAAGTTAAAAGCATTGAAGAGTTGGTTCAGGCATTTTATCATACACCTTGTCGGCAGAAAATACATAGAGATCCATTTTAGTATGATCAAGACTAAAATGGCATTAAGAACCCTCAACAAGCAAGGAAACAAGTAAATATAACACTAAACATCCTAGATCTTCTCTAATCACCCTTAATCACCCTAGCTCATGAATCCAAAAGGAGTCTACTCACTAATCTTCATGATTAACCTTATAAACCCATGGTTGATTTAAGAGAAATCATGTTGAGAAGTAAATTGAATCAAACAATCATAAAGAAATAAGAAGAAAAGTAACTAAAGATTCAATCTTTCTTCAAGCTTTCATTGTGTTCTTCGAGAGAAAAGAAGATATTTCTAAAGATTAGGTCTAGATTGTATTTATAGTAGCTTAAAACTTAAATCGGGTCGGTCCGACAAACCCGGGTTTGACCCAAGAAACAAATGGGAAACTTAATCTCGGAGTCGACCGCGGCCTGGCCCTACTCGCGTCCATGGTCCGTGGCCAGATGCTCCCCATCTTGATCTCTCGGGCTCAATTCCACGGCTTGGCGTTGCCCGCGTGTGCCGTCTGTGGTGCATGACTCGTGAGAAGGCGCGGACGAAGGCTGGCCGCGTGATGCATCCGCAGAGAAGGTCGAGGAAGGAGTGGCCCTCGGGCTGGAATATGCGGCCTTGCTCTGGTCCGCGTGGAACGTCCACGGGATGGTTCATCGCGAAGCACAGCTCTCGGGTCGTAAACCGCGGTCTGATGTTGGCCCGCGTGACCCGTCCGCGGTCGGCCATCTCAAACATCTTGGTGAGTTCCATTTTTTTTGACTAAACCCTCTAATCTCCAACCTAAGCTTCTCCATACCTAAAATACCACACATGCATATGCTATGCACCTAAAGGAACTCTAAATGCAGCTAAAGTGATTGAAATGAACACAAAAAGGATGATTAAAACTATGAAATAAGCAAGATATCAACTCCCCCAAACTTGTTCTTTACTTGTCCTCAAGTAATTAATTTAGGCCAAAGAGAGAGAAAATGAGAATGAAAGCTTAAAACCTATGGATACACTTCTTATACTCAACACCATATCCTAGACAAACATAACCTACAACATAAACAATCTCAATTAGTACACTCTACCTTCTCAAGGCGTAACAAGACTCATTGCTATAAAACAGGTTGTGGATCACCAATCAACAAATCTCCTCAACCAACCCTCAAATTCAATTAAGCATAAGCAATAAGGTGAAGCCTTGCAAATGGAAACTTGATCTCAATCATTTGGCTTGGTAAGTGAAAGGGCTAAATGAGAATAGAGGAGGGGTTTCAATACATTTCTTTTTAGTGGCTTACACTCAAGAATAGGAACTTGATCATTATGCAAAATCTATCTAAGAAAAGGAGCAACTTATGCATACATTGCTTGTTCTTATCAATCTACCCTTTTCCTAGACATCTTTAAACTCTACCATTTTTCTTGGTGTAAATCTCAAAGCCATTAATCCTCAAAAACATTAAGATCACTCACCCAATGAACTCTTTCTCTTTTCTTTTCTGTTGAACCAACTAGGAACTTTTTCTTTCACTTTTTACTTAAACTCTACTCTTACTTTTCTTATGTCTTCCCCAAAGTCTTTTCTAGACTCTTTTCTTTCTTCATTTTCTTTAGTCTAAGGGGTTTCTTATTTGAAGTTTCTAGATTTTTTTTTTCTTTTGATCTCTAGTGGTTTTCTTTCTTTTTCTTTCTTTGGTTCATTCTTTTCACTCATCTAACACCCCAAGACCCAAAGATAAACTCTTTTGCACCACAATACCAAACTTTCCATCCTAATTGCTAGCTCTCAAGAGGTCCTATAGCTAGTCTGTGATAAGAACAACCAATGTCGCCCCTAATACTCTCAAGTTTTTGCACATGACAAGTTATCAAAAGAGGCCTCACACAAGCAAAATGATTTAGGCTTCAAAGAATGGTAATGGTTTAAAGGTAAGGAGTGCCATTTGGGTTTTATAAAGAGTGGTATTAAGGATAAGTAAAACCCAAATGTGTATAATCCATGACCAAGCATGCAAGACTCCATATGCAAGAAGAATTAAGTTCATTCAGCTTTAACTTCATTTGGAATTGGTTTAAAGGAGAATGTCAATCTCACACAAGCAACAAGTTTCAAGAACAGTTTTCAAGACTCAAAGCATGCAACCTTTTTAAGAGATGCTTAAGCTACTTGCTATGATCAGCTAGGGTGAAGTTTTGAGTTCTAAGCATATGTTTCCTTATTAGGTCAGCTCAAAATGCATGAATGCAATCTAAATGCTTGTTTTTGTTTCTTTTTAGAAATTTTTTAATTTTTTTGATTTTTCTATGCATATATGTACGTGCAATGTAATGCATGAGACTCAAAATCAACAAAGCAAACATGATCAAATACTTAGTACCTCCCCCAAACTTAAATCACACAGTCTCTGTGTGAGTAAACGAGAAGGAGATACCGAAAATATGATAAAAGCAATGGTGTATATACAAAGAATAGTTGGAGTGATACCTCAAGTGGGAATGAGCAGTGTTGTGGCTGTTGGTGTTTGGGCATGACCTTTGGGCATATTGAGGAGACCCCCAAACTTGTTCCTGACCTTATTCAACTCACTAAAAGCATAAATATATACAAGGATAATCATGTGACTTCCTCCCAAGTGAGCTTGGTTAAAGTCTCTTAGCTTGACTACCTTTGTTTACCTGTTGAGAAGGATGATCCTTCCCACCTTCAAGGGTGATGGTTAGGACGTGTGTAAGGAACTCTTGGAGCTTGAGTGGTTCAGCTTGGAGTTGCGGAGAGATAATGGCCCTGGCGCTTTGAGAATGGTTTGGACCTTCCCTTGCACTTGATCTTATACTCAATGGCTCCATCTTTTAGCTTTAAAGGGTGGAGTGTGAGAGTGTGTGGCATCTTGGCAAGCTTTGGAGATGGAGAAGCTTTCATCTTCTTCTTGTTTTGAGTAGTGTGGGAACCGAAATCCACCTACTGTCAATAAATCGTAAATAAGGAAACTTCCGGTAAACCCTAAGTTTCCAGAGGAACCGGCTATCTGCAGAACCGCACAACGATAATTAAGAAAACGATGAACTTTAAAATTAAACAGAGAATGAATAAGATCGAGAGCAAGAAGGTTCTTATTCCGAATCTGCGTAAGAACTGTTACAACGAGAGTAGCCGAAACTCTAGAAGCCTAAGAATGAAAACCCTAGTTGAGACGCAGCTCGCTAACAGAAAACATAAATATTCCTAAATGCTAATTTTGGGTGGTGAAAGCTCTGAAAAATCGTGTCGCAGCTTCTGCCCTATGCCTCTTGCTTATATACTCCCTCTTAGGCGGTTTTAGTCTTTCCATTTCGCCTGAATTCGAGTTTATCGGGAATTTTCCATTTCTCTTGATCCTTCCTTTTCTCCCGCGGAAATCTTCTATTTATCTTCAAACTTGCCTTTTGTCTTCAAACTTGACATTTATCTTTCTTCTGCGAGTAAACCATCAAAACGTTATCGTATCTTCGGGTTTGATTCCGTTAATATCGCGAGATGGGTTTTTATCGTGTTTTAGGACCTTTCGGGCCGTTCTGCGATAAAAATCTGTTTTACGACTTTATACGAGACTGTTTCCTGATCCGATGCCGTTTTTACGATTTTCTCGTCGTTTTTTATTAAAACCGCGTTTTTTATGATTTTAACGAAAAATATCGAATAAATCGTATAGTTTAGGCAATGTTCGGTGTTTCGTTTAACCGTTGCCGTTTTATACGATTTCCTCGAGTTCTTTCCGAGAAAACAAAGTTTTACGGTTTTTATGGTAAAACTCGAACGATAGGTCGGATCGAGACGAAACGGGAGACATCTTGAACATGGTTCGGAGCACGACCGTGTCGAAGGTCGTAAGCACTGAATCGGGGATATGGGAGATCGAGGCTCGGGATGGTCGCTTCGACATACGGCGAACCGAGCTGGACCGGTCCGACTTGCCGGCCGGTGGACTGACCGGGAAGCTTCTAGTTCGCCCAACGGCGAACTAAGCCGGTCATGGCCTAGTTCGCCGTTGGGCGAACTAGCCGGTCATGGCCTAGTTCGCCGTTGGGCGAACTAGCCGGGACGAAGCTAGTTCGCATTTTAC